GTGATTTCATTTGTTTTGTATAAGTTTTGGGATGACACGTACATTATGTATCGGCCTTAGAACTTGCCATAGTGCCTTTAGACGACCTCGGGTTCGGGTAAGAACTCGGTTAGCGATTCGAACCCTTGGGTTCGGGTCATTGCATTCGGACACTTTCCAGATACACAAATATGGCTCGAACACTTCCCAGATACGCTAATACGGCTCGGACACGTATATTCATGAATATTGAATATTTATTTTCTGGCTGGATACGGTTGGGACAAAGCATGTACAAGGCAAGAATACGTTTTAGACATTTTCAGAATACAATAGCGTAATTTATTTTTTTTTAAAAAAATTCAATACAATTAAAAATAATAATATATAGTTTAAAAAACAAAAATAACAAACATGTAGTTCCAAATTTTAAGTTATTGTGTACTTATATATGATTATATGGATAAAATGGCAAAAAATACATTATTTACATATATAATAATATATAAAATTAAATGCATTAAACCCCCCTCAACTATGGGCTGATTGCAATAAACCCCCCTAAATTAAAAATAATCCCTTAAACTATTAATTCGTTGCATTCAAGTACTTAACGTAAAGAATCGTTAACAGAAAATCAAATTACTATTTAGCCCTTGTTTGGCAATAAAATTTACATAGCCAATAGAGAAGTGACACCTAGCCTAAATATATATATATATATATATTTGGGTCCAACCAATAAAAGCCAGGCTTCTTTAACTTTTTCCTTCTCCCAATTTTTCTCTCTCTACAATGATACTTTGTCTAACCCTTCGGACAAGTAGAAAGAAATTTGATAACAAAATTGTTTGTTTAATTGGGACAAAACAGGGACATGATTGATAAATCAAACACGAACAAGAAGAAAAGTTTTATGAAACCCAACAGCAGTAACTAACCACTCAAAAATGAAGAGCCGGTGATTTTATTCACTACCATTCTCTTCTCACTCCTATTCATTCTCACCAGAAAATCAGACCTTGTCGCTAACAAAGCGGTGCTTCTCGCTCTCCACATTGCCGTTGATGGTTGACCCATCCTCAGCGAGGCTACTGGCCCGGTGTGAGCTGCCAGTCTGGCATCATCACTGAGCTTGTTATCCCTGGCATAGGTTTCTCCGACCAAATATCACCATTCCCTCTCGAAAATCTGACCCTTTTGTGAAATCAAAATTTTGACACTCGAATCTTCGTTTCTAAGTCTTGAATCACTTTAAAACATTGATCTTTGGGTGATCTCCTAATCATTCTCATGGTTAGTGCCGTGACGCCGGTGAATTTTTCTGGATATGGGTTGGCATTTTTGGGTGTTACTATTACAATCATTGGAAGTTATAGGCTTTGATGAAAAAGGATGGAACAAGCCGGTTCAGCAGGATGAGGTCATAAGGGTATATTTGAGATTACAAATTTTGCCCTGTGCACATGGGTCATGTGTCCCTACCTGGCGTTAAATATTGGATGACCAACTAATGGAATTTAATTTTTTGCAACAAACAAAATAGTTTAGGGGGGTTTTTTTGAGAAATAAAAAAAAGTTCAGAGGGGTTTAGTGCACTTAACCCTAATATATAATACTGCCTCTGTCTCAGTTTAGATGTCGCTTTTGGGAAGTAGGAATTTTTAAGGGAACATGTGGGACATGCCTGGTCTTCTTGAAGAGTTACTAATTTGCCCTTATAAGTTTTGAATATTTAAGTTTGAAATTTTAAACTCCAAGGACATATATGGAAAGATATAAAATATATTGTTTTAAAAAAGAAAGTGACAAGTATTTTGGGATTGACCAAAAAGGAAAGCATGACATTTTTTTCCGGACAGAGGGAGTATGTTATTATTTTTTAATGTATCCGTACCATACTCATGTTATATTTTTTTTTAAAAATTTTGTCGTATCGTCGTGTTCGTATCTATTTTATACCCGTGCTTCTTACGATATACATACATACATACATACACGACCTATGAAAATAATTTTTAGGGTTAAGTGCAAAAAATCCCCATCTACTATTGATATAGTGCAAAAAAGTCCTTGTGTGGTATAAAACCCCCTATACTATCAATTTGGTGCAAATAAGTCTCTGTGTGGTATAAAATAACGATAATACCCTTACTTCAATTGAATAAATTAATAATTATAAATACAGACCATGTAAAATGACCATTTTGTCCAATTTGTGTAAAATTGTGTTTGTTTGAGACAATAATAAAATAAACCTCAATTTGTATAAAATTGGGATAAGTTAAACCAAGGAACCTAAAACTAGATATAATAAAAATCGAAACCAAATAATCCCCTAACACACTCTAACACTATTTATCCAAAAAAAAAAAAAAAAAATCCCAAAATCACCCATGCCACCACCTCCTCCTATTTCGTCCCTCCAAGCTTAAGACCTCCCTTTGAGCTCATATATCTCATCATAGAAATACATATTTTGGGTTTTTTTTTATTTTTTGTTCACTGTAAATCAATCTTCTTCACTCTCTTTTTGTACCTACGAAATGGCATTCTTAATCTCTCTCTCTCTCTCAGATGTTGTTCTTGTGTAAATTTGACTGGTTGGAATTACGTGGCAGTAAAAAAACACAAAAAAGGTTTGCTTCTTTATTTATCCAATTATCCAATTCTTTATTGCTGAATGGAATTCAGACTCGCTTAGACAGATGATAAAAACTCTTGTCTTACTGGTAGAATTTTGATTTGATGACCTAGCCTTACAAGATTAACACTCTACACCAGCTATGCAAAAGGAGAGTAGTTTCGAAGTGAAACATTTCTGGGTCTATCCATTGTGTTTACCCTGACATAATTTTAATATATATATATATTTTTCCTATCAATTCAATAGATGCATAAAATGAAATTATATCATAAACAGAGAGAGAGAGAGAGAGAGCCCGCCGCGCCCGCGGGGGGGGGGGGGGGGGGCGATATGGGTGAGGGAGTAAAGTGAGAATCAAAAGAATAAAATAGAGTTTTCATATTTAGTTTTTGTCAAAAGGTGACTAGGTTTTAGAGGGACTTATTTGTATCTTTTTTTAATTTTATGGACTAACATGCACATTTTTAATAAATAAAGACTAATTTTGCACAAATCTTATATAATAGAATTTTTTTTTACACTTAACCCTAATTTTTATTTGTATTATAAACCTATAAATTTTATAAAATTTTGAAAATGTTTCACTACTTTAACGGTGCTCCCTCTGAACAAATTTTATGAATCCGTCATCGTGTGTATGTATATAATAAATAATAAAGGAGTTGAAACAACAGCTCTGAATGGAGGAGCCCAAGTATCCTCCATTGGATGCATTTAGGTTGGTAATTATATATATATTATCACAATAAAGGAAAAATATCATTGAAATCAAGAACAATGTAATGATACCAATTACCAACACACGCACGCGCGCGCACACACACACACACACACATCGTTTATAAGATAACTTGGAAATTTCAAACGATGCACTCCATATTAAATTCACGATTTATTAAATGTTAAAATCCCTTAAGAAATATAATAAATTGGAACAAATATTAAACTTTGCCAACTCACTCATTAGGCCATGCACAATTTTGATCGTGCAAACTCAAATCTTGAATCATACAAGTTCTACACAAGTTTAAGTGATTCAACGACTGAACTAGTGTAGTCGCAACCGTGATCCGATGGTTGGATCAATCCATAGTTGAAATGCTCTCGGCCCCATAGTTAGTAAAATATTGTAGGGAAAAAAAACGGATTTAGATTCATACAAGTATAAATTGATTTTTTTTTTTTTTTTTTTAAAATACATTATAAAAATTTGGTTGAATAAAATAGAAACATGAAAACTCGATCACGAATACGTATGTGTATCATGCGTTGTATGGATTAAAAATTTGGCTATATATACTCACATTATTTATTTTTTATGTATCATATCCTTGTAAAGACATTAAAAGAAAATGTAACAAATAATTAAAAAAAATAAAATGTTAGAATTAATAATATAAATTTTCATTTTATGCAAATTTACACTATTACAATAAACATGAAGAAATAAACTAATTAAATATAATTTATCACTAACTATGACCTCATAAATTCATAACAAGTTAATTGAAAAATTCTAATTCAAATAATCAACTATGTTTATCTATAAATAAATAAAAATTTGTTCTCTCTTTTTTTTTTTTGATAACCTCTGTGTGTGTAATAAATGCATAAGTATAATTTAATAAAATTAAAATTTCAAATTATAATAGATTAGAATAACATATAATGCATTTATGACTTATTATTTTATATAAACTTTCAAAAACAGAACAAAATAAACTAAAAATCTAAATATCTACCACTATAAACAAAATTTAAAATATCTTTAAGAAATATATAAAAATATCTACAAAGTTCTATAACAATCAAAGTGTGTATATATATACTCCAAGTTAATTAATTGAACATCACTAAGGAATATAACGTATTAAATGGTGACTGGTATGTAACGTTTGATAAAATTTGCATATTTTATCATATTTTTTAAATCTAAAGGTCAAACAAGCGTATTTTCAAAAACTGGTGTATAATTCGCGAATTTACTGACCATGATTGGCTCAAGTGTTGGGCTTTAATATCGGTTCAAAATAGGACTATTATTTTGGAATTTGTAAAGTCGATTAAGGAAAATTGATTAGCTTTCAATCACACCTACCCAAAAATTGTGTTAAAAAAAAAAAAAAAAAAAAAAAAAAACCACACAATTGTTGGGCCGCATGTGACACAGACATGTGACACGTACCGAAAACACGTACTTGTAATTTCGATGGTATATGACGCATTATTGAAGCTCGTGGGCTTGCGATCAACTTATCTTTAAATTTGAACAATCCAATCGTTGGTAATCTTACACTAGATCCGAAGAGTCAAGTAAAAGTTACCTTAGGAATTACACCCCAAAGAAAGTAAAAATTACAATTCATATCCACAAAACCCTAAAACCTCTCAAACAAACCCCCCTGATATATTACTTTCTTTTCACACACGTCCAGACACCAAATCAACCCTAACCCAGAAGTCTCTTTCCCGACTTCTCTCTGTGTTGTTCGCTTTACCTTCTTCCTTGTTCACTCTCTCTCTCTCATTTATTTATTTACAGCCTATTTGAGCTTAAATTTGGGGAATGGAGGTGGGTATTTTCAGCTCCGATGTGGTTGCCATGGAGAGGATGATGTTTTGCTCTGCTGTGGAAGCTGTGGTGGTTGACACCGTTTTGGCTGCACAAAGATCTCTTGCTTGCCTTTTCATGGTGGTATATACTTTCGTTGCCCTTTTTTTGTTACAAAGTTGTGATTTTTGTGATGTGGGACTTTTTTATGCTCTGCTTTGCTTTTAGGGCTTATTTGAACAATCGACTCTTTGTTGTGTTACCCCTTCTGTAAAGTTAGGGTTTTGCCTCTTGTTTATTTATTTAGCTGTTTACTTATAGACTAAGAGTGTGGTTCTCATTAAGTGCTTCAATTTTTGGATTTTACCAACTTCACTTAAGTAGTTAGGGTTTTTCTGTGTTCCCCTGTAAGCATATACCTCTTTGTGTTCAGCTCCTAGTTCCCATATTTTAACTTTAGGGCTCATAATGAATGTGTGTGTGTATTTCCCTATTAACTTTAGGGTTTGTTCAAGGTTAGAAGACCCAGGTCTTTCTCAGATTGATTCTATCTAGTACTTTAGAAGATTGTCTAAGTTGTTCGTGTCTCAGAGGATATCGGAGAATTTGGGGTTTCAAGTAGCTTTTGGTTTGTGTTTTTGGTGAAAATAACATCATATGTAATCTGATATTGGGTTAGATCTCTTCATTCACCTTTATCAAAACAATTCTGGTTTGTATTGTGAATGATAGGTACAGTACTTGCTATGCTGCATAGGAGGCCCTACATATTTTGGTTCCTGGTTGGTTTTAGCTTGAAATTGCTTATATTTCCTGTTTTTGGATACGGAGTTGTCATTTTTTAGACCTATTTGGTGCATACTGTATGAGTATAAGAATTTTAGGAAGCAGGAATTGATGACCTAATAGACCAAAACTTGTGAAAATGGTAGGGGCTAAATGTTGGAAATTGAATTTGATACTTGAACTTTTAATGGTACTCGTGTCAAATATTCGGAAGCACAAAAAATATATATTGCATTTGCATCCTGGAGCTCTCAAGTTCTGTTTGAATTTGTCCGGCACATCTTTAATTTCAATTTTTTTTATTAAATGCTTCTTGTTTTTTCGTGCAGCTCTTATTAATTGCTATCAGGGTTAAACTTAAATTGATTTTTTTAAAAAAATTATTTTAAATTTGGACTTGATGTTGTAATTTGAAATTAGCAGCATATTTGACATTTCAAGGTATCATATACAAAAAAATAAAAATAAGATTTCATATTTTGACTTCTTCCCATACAAATTTCCATCATATATTGGGATATATGTTTGATAAGTACAATAGGCACACATTAGCATCTCAACTGGGACTTGAGCCTTGCGCCTCCACCTAAAAAGTGGCAGGAGACATCCGACAACCATAATAAAACTGAAGTCAAACAGATCTGTAACTAATCAATTTTCATCCGAGAAGAAGGGGAATTGTGGTTGAAGACTTCCGAAAGTACAACACACATTGCAACCTGTAATAGAACCTTAGACCTCTTCCATTTTTTCCCTTAGTTATTTATTTATTTATTTATTTTTATTTTTTAATTATTTTTTAATTTTTAAACCAAATATTTCTGCAGCTTTCTGCTGCTGTTTGGTAGTAGGGACTAAGGCTTTGTAGAGTTGAATTTGAATTGTTTAACCTACCTTACTTCTTTGCATGTTTACCTTCACATTTGTTGTTCTTGAAACTCAATTCATGCAGTGATGTTTATATTTATTATATTTTTGGCAAAATTGGATGGAGAATGGTAACATCTGATGATTGCTTCGTTATAAGCACTTATCATTGTTTGAGCTCTTTTACCAACATGAGCTAACTTTTCAGACAGGATCTCTGCTGAAGGATGTCAACATGTTGCCTAAATTTACTGGAATTGATGAAAGGTAATAAGTTTTACTTTTAGTGTCATTTGCGTCTGTGTGGTTTGGTTAAACAAAAAAATTCACTTAGAAGACGAATGAAATGTCATTTTGCAGGTTTCCCATGGATCAACTACATAAAACGAAACAGGTGGTCGACCCTGAAAATGAAGATGGTAGTGATTCGGATAATGATGATGAAGATGATGACGACGACGATGATGTAGAGGAGCCAGAAGATGATGCAGGCGATGATGATTTCTCAGGTGGAGAAGGTGGGGAGGATGATGATGAAGGGGATCCAGAAGAAGATCCCGAGGCAAATGGTAATGGTGGCAGTGATGACGAGGATGACGATGATGACGATGGCAACGAGGATGACGACGATGAGGACGAGGACGAGGACGAAGATGAGGAGGAAGACGAAGAGGAGGATGTTCAACCACCCGCTAAGAAGAGGAAGTGAAAGTCGTCGATGGTTATTCACTTTCTTTTTCTTTTTTAATTATTTTTTTTTCCTGTTCTTGGTTGGTTTAGGAGTATGTAGTAGGAAAGGGAAGGTTTAGCTTATCTGTCTTCATAAAGTAGGAAATTAACCATCCCTGTTCAGAATGAACTTTTCTGCCTGTTGTTGTGTGACAGATGGTTATATGTTCCATTTTGTAGAATGGATTGGTATTTTAGAATTTTATGTTATGTGACTTTCCATGGGACATTGCTGTCAAAAGTAACAGAAAGTGGCTAAATTTCCAGAAAGGAAAACAAAAATGGACCAACTATTTCATTCAAGTATTAGTTCAGATGGTATAATTTTTTCTTTTTGAAAGGGGATGATAGGATCAATATTGTGAATATTGTGGATGTGTGTGTTTAATTGAATTTTCGAAGAAAAAAATATAGAAGAGTCATTGTGGTGGTCGACTGTTCGTGCAGTAATAATTTATTTGCACACACACACATATATATTTTATGTTTAGTCAATAAATGGAAATACTTCCTTTTCTTGTTATTGGTTTTCTGTTGCAAGCCGTGTATTCCTATTTGTTTACGAGACTTAAGGATTTAACCCTCATTATTATGGAAGTATTCAAAGAACTACTAACGAGAGTATATTTAAATCACACAATTCTTTGAACGGATACCCTCACTTTTCTGGAGGTATTCAAAGAACTATTAAAGAGGATCTATTTAAATCACACAATTCTTTTAAACAGATACCTACTCTTACTCTCGGCATGCTCTCACTCTTTGGGGTGATAGAAACATTTTTTCTTGAAAACAAAACCCAAACTCTGAGAAACATTTTTTTTTACCACGTGCACATTATGAATTGATTGACCCATTCTTTAAAACTACCTGCAAACTTTAGCATTGCATGCTTCATACACATAGATTTTGATTTAGTGATTTCCACGTTAATAACTGAAGATTCCTTGTGAAAAAAAGGCACAGTTTTAAGGTAATGATCTTACATCTTAGGATTGTTACACCAACAGGGCAATGAATAAACTGGAGCATAAAACCTTCAATTCAGGTTCTATTATGAAATATTTATAACCATAATATTTGGAATAATGTTTGCTCCAGTATCAATAATCGCATGTCAGATCAAAAAATCTTTCCTTATCATTAGCAGTACGACATATAACACGGAGATGCAAGAAGAAACTCAACCATTTAGCAGTACGACATATAATTGAGGTTTATTAAGAAAAATTAAAATGTGATAACATAACGAAGTCGACATATTTAGTTTTTATGTTCAGATAAAGAGCGATGAAACATTAAAGAGTTTGTTGCTGATAACTGTAGATGCATGTGCTGAAGCAATCGCAATGATAAATCTTGCTTTATTACTACAATCTTCTCCATTCCAAGTCTTGAATAGCTGTAATCGAACATCCAGCAGTTCAACCTCCATTCCAAGTCTTAATGGCTGAAATCAAACATCCAGCAGTTCAACCTACAACAAACATATCATCATCATCATTCTTTCCTTTACCTACAACATTGAAAAATTAAATCTTATCAGGTCACCCAATCACATTTGTCATCGGGGTAGGAGTTAAAAATCTGAATTAATATATGGAATCTCACACACACACGCGCGCGCGCAGTAATAAATGAGCTGAGATCCTTTCATGACAACATTCAAATGTTTTATCTTTAATAAGCCCTTTAAGGATTCCATGGAACATTTAACCGACAATTAGGAGAATAGGCAGTCTCTTGGCACACACATACACAACACACCAGGTCTCTCTTTGAAAGCCGTAAACGTTTCAATGCTTCAACTTGTAGATAGACAGCTTGTTCCCTTCAAAAAGTGTGCCATCGACTCTTGTCAACATTTAAAAAGAATAGAATCTGTCCCTGTTTAACTCTATGATTGATTATGGCATCAGTCGGTAGTAATAAGCTATCGTCAAGTTTATTATTGTTTTCCCTTCCCCGTAGAATCTCTCCCTGTTTAACTCTATGATTAATTATGGCACCAGTCGGTAATAATAAGCTATTTTTCAAGTTTATTATCGTTTTCCCTTCCCCATATTGGCCAAGCACTATTTTCACACCATCACCAGCACAACCTTTACTGCTGCTTTGATGGCCTTGAACCACCAGAATGATGACTTGTAGCACGCACCACAAGTCACTCAGAATGACCATCATCTATTTTGAACCACCAGCACACTAGTAGCTACCACCGTATCACCATTTCCACATAAAGCGCCTCGTATATGGTCCGGTATATCCCCAGTAACTTCAAAAATATTATCACATCCATTAAATTGTCAATACTTTCATCAGCACCTACCCAACTAGCTCTTGCCACTCCATCACCAATTCTACGGCTTCCAACTGCGTCACGTACAACTCAGGTGAGCCGTCATCACCACCATTACCACCACCTCCATGCACTCCCACCTCACCAACCTTTCACTATCTTTGTAACCATCAACATCATGTGTTCCAATCAATTGTCACTGCCATTGATTCCCATGGATATAATACGACAGATAATATGGTTTAGATTGGGTGAATGGAGAAAATAAAGTATTTGGGATTAAGTTTTGTTTGATCAAGTTGAGAATTCCAACAATATATGTTTAACACTCTTAAAAATGATGAAATCGGAAAGAGAGACATATAAAGTTGCATCAAGATTTATGCCAATCTCAGTAATTCAAATTTGATTATTTTTATAGCCATGAGTAATAGGTGGAATCAGACTGTGAATCGTTTGATCTACTTCAAATTTTCCAAAATATTGAATACATTATACACCAAAAATGATTTGGAATTATTGTTAAGAGGTGAGCAGGACGTCCCGAGTGCCTATTCAACAAGACCAGGGGTCCGATAGCAATTGAAGAATGACTGGATTATCCAAAGTGAGTCAAAACGGTGGCAGGTGTCAGCGTGTCGCTTTTGGTAAGTTTGAGTTATGTACCTGATGAAAGCTGTTTATTGTACAAAGATACTTGGACAACAAATCTGATGTTAATCGCACTAAGCAAGTAGCTGAATCCCATGTTGCTATCAATAAGTTTGAGTAACCTACTTATCAAAAAAAAAAAAAAAAAAAATTGAGTAACCTACTTGATGAAGGAGCTGTTTATAAGATAGAAAAACTTGGACAACAAATCCGATTGTTGATGACATAAAGCCAGTAGTTGAAGCAACTGTACACAAGTAATAGTGGTAGTTCGGGTCTAAATTATTGATGAGCCTATGGCTTTTAACATGCAAGCAAGTATAGCTACGCTAGGAGCAAGTATACAAGGACCTCATATGGACAGAAGTTGATCATATGGGCTACACGTAAGGCTCCAAAAAATCGAATGGGAATTTAAATGTAAATTCTGGCATCTAGAAAAGGCTGAACATAAATGAAAACGTGTTGCCAATGGGCCTCAAGTTAGGGTAAAATGTAAATTCTGGGTTGACGTGTGCATAATATTGCAAAAATAGGGTAATAGTTGTAGACAGATCAAGAAGTGCACAAGAACCCTTTCTTTCAGTAGAGGACTACTACCAGTCATTTGAAATTCTTGAAAAGAGCCAGTTTTGAAGAAGAAACTACCTAGGGGAAGATATGAAGTTAAACATACACTGTTCAAATACAAGTCCGGTTACCAGACAACCCATACTTCTTGTGTAACATGAGTTCAACAATCTAATCTAATTATTATGTTTCCTTTCCAGAGCTTTAGTAATATGCAATCTGCTATTGATCAAAATATCATTTTCCAGAGCTTTAGTAATGTGCAATCTGCTATTGACCAAAATATCATCTTTTCCAATCCTAACTTCAAAGCAAATGTGGTGTGCTGGAAGTTTAACACGTAATTTGTAAGACTAGTAGCATTAATGTAAAATCTCAAGACAAGTCCAATGCCATTTCACTTGTAACCAAAATTCTAAACAAAACCATACAAAATATAATGGAAATAAAAACAAATCATCAAAATAAATACCCTCAATATAGAAGACAATGTAATGGTCAATAACTCTTATTCAAACAAGAAATCAACTTAAATATATATTTGATCATATAGCTAATTATCGATCACTTACTATGGCAACTTCCCGGATCGGAAAATTGCAAATTTTGAAGCTTCAGAGTACGAATAACCAATCCCATTTTCCTTCAAGTAGTCCTCAAGCAACTTCTTGGCCTTTTCCGGCTCGTTGCTCTCGCACTCGATCTCGTACAAAGTACCAAAATCATACATAGTCTCATCCACCTCCAGCTTCAACCCATTCCACTCATGCACTGCCCTTACATTCCTAAACCCACCCAGACACACAAACCCTCCATCAACAACCCCAAACTCATCCCTCACCCTCCTCAACACTCTCAAATCGATCGAGCCAAGCCTCGATGGATTCGCCACGCATTCACGACCTATGAGGGGGTCCAATTCCTCCTCGTCTTCCTCGACTCTGCTCACGCCGTCGACAAGCACGGCCTTGGCTTTGAGAGAGACTACGCATTTGGCGTCATCGTCGTAGAAGCGGAGACGGAGGACGGCGCGCCGGGAGGAGAGCTCGGAGGCGGCGCCGTCGAAGAAGGTGTTGTATTGGCGGTGGGTCTTGAGGTGGAAAGGTGAGAGGAGAGAGAGAAGCTTCTGGAGAGAGGCGGAGTCTGGTAGACGAAGCTTGACTTCAACCTCCATTGATTTCTAGGGTTAGGGTATGGAGCTTAAACTACGATAAACTTAGGGAGACTAAGAGGAGAGGCCGATGCGTTGGGATTTGGAGGAGGAGTCTTTGGCGGTGCGGTCGAAGTGGTGGAGGAGAGAGGTGGCGCCGCTGGTGGCAGAGGTGGAGGTGGCGGCGGCGGCGGCGGCTAATCGGGCACGGGCTTCTTCGAGTTCTTCCTTGTCTTCGACTTTCACTTCGATCTTGCTCGGTTTTCTCCTCAGCATCTCTCCCTCTTCCGAGATTTCACTCCAGATTTTCTCGGAGTCCAAACGACATCTTATTTTGCAGTGTTAAGTGCAAAAAATAAAAATAAAAAATAAAAAATAAAAAATAAATTATATAGTGCAAAAAAGTATAAAACCCCTATAAAAAGACATTAATACCCTCCTATCAATAGAATTAAATAATATTAAAAAATTCAATCAATGTAAAATGGGTTAAGTACAAAAACCTTCCATCTACTATCGATATAGTGCATATTGTGGTAAAAAAACTTCCCTATACTATCAATTTGGTGCGATTGGGTCCCTGGTGGTGTAAAATGACAATAATACCCTCACTTCAGTTGAATAAATTAATGATTATAAATACCGGTCATGTAAAATGACTTTTTTGTCCAAATTTGTATAAAATGAAGTTTGTTTGGCAGGAGGATAATATAAACCTTAAATTGTATAAAATTGGAATAACCTAAAACTGAATATAATTAAATCTAAAACCAAATATGCCCTTTCATATTTTGAAATATAAATAAATTTGTAATATATATATACGTGACACCATATATCATTAGGGCAAATCTATGGGTTTTAAGGCAAATCATTTCAGCCTCCGCCTGGGGCTGTGAGTCAATTCAGCCAATTCCAGTTCTTGAAGAAAGCCATCCCAATTCTACTCTCACTCTCACTATTTTCCTTCCTGTTTTCTTACTACCCACCACTTTCTTTCCTTCTCCATTCCTTCAATCATGATGTTACTCCATTTTCCATCCAAACAGTTTCCTTTACCATTCATAGGAACTACATATTCCTCCTCTGCAATGGAATTCTTGTTTTTCTGATCACCAACTCTGGCCTGATCACTAACCCTCAACTGGGTAGTGATGTTGATGGCAAACACATCAAGAATGACGGCAAAGATCGGCGATCAATAGTACCTGAATTTTCTGAACCAAAAGCATTGGTTAATGAAGTTGTTATTGTGGAAGATGAAGAAGATCATGGAAGTGAAAATGGAATTTCGGTTACCGCAAAGTGTGATGAAAATGGGCTCTTGACTGCATAAGATGAAGATGAAGATGAAGTAGAGTTTCATGATATGGAAGAAGAGGGAGAAGGAATTAGGTTGTTGAGTGCAGAGGAATTGAACAAGAAATGTGAGGATTTTATAAGGAAGATGGAAGGAATCAAAATTGAGGCCCAACATCATCCGATCATGGTTTGATGTGTGTGAAAACAATAACTGACAATTGGATTTTTGTCTCTCTGTAAAGATTTTCTCTGCAAGCTCTTTCTAGCATTAGTTCGATTTAACCTCAAATTGTGTTTGGATGAAAACTTTTAAGCCTGTAGCAACCATATTCAGCCAACTGTTCCTCAAAATTTTAACACATCTTCTTGGTTAGGTCGACGGTAGGAACATAGAAAATTTTAGAGATCAACTCCGACGAGATTACAGAGCTTTGGCGACCATGGCTTAGCAATCAGTTCAGGCGATCATTGTGAATAGGTCCTTTCTGGTGTGTTTCAGTTCTATCTCCGGTGAACACCACTGAAAACCCAAAACGAGTGAAGAATTTCAGTGTACAGTCCGGCGAGCTTCCCTTTGTATCAGTCCGGTGATGAGTACAGAGCACAGTTCTGGCGAGCTTTGGGTGACCCAATTCAGGTGAGCTCCAAACGTACCGACGGCCATCCTTGGATCGGCGGCGATGAGGGCCTCTATGACGGCCATTCTCTTCGATGACCATCTTTCCGCGACGGCCATCATCTTCTTTTTTGCGGCTGACTTTAGTTAAATACACCACAATAAGGATGCACCATTTTATACTTATATATGTGTGTGTGTGTGTGTGTGTGTGTGTGTGTGTGTATCTGACATGGTATAAGGTGAATATCATCCCGCTTACCCAATAATTACACTTTTCAAAGTCTTCCTGCTCTCCAGCAATCCATTTTCGATGGTTCAATCCAGCAGTCTGAGTTTCTGTCAACTACAGTATGGAACCAGTTACAACATAATGCAGCAGCAGCTCACATCCATCTTCATTAATGCTAGTAGAATATCCAATCAAAATGCCTAACGATATTTTCCTAAACAACACACTTTGCTTAAGGATAATCCCACATGATGATTTTGCTGCAAAGGATGCAGAACTGTTGACAATTTCATTCCAATATTTGATGAAAATGTCTTGAAATTCCTGGAGCCAGTATTGGATAGTTCTATAATCAAATTCCTTTAAGAGTGGATTTTCCTTACTGATGTCAAGAAATTTGGGTTTCTTGAGTTTTTTCTTGTAGCCAGCTTTACTTTGTAATGGAGAGAGAGAGACGAATTGTGAGGGACTTTTATGCACAAATTGTGAGGGGCAAAATGGAAAACAAAAGGGTCAAATGAGGTTTTAAGATTTATTTTTTGTAAAAAGTTGTCAGAGGGACCGATTATGCACCTTTTTTGAATTTTGTGGATGGACTTTTTCAAAAAGTAAGAACTTATTCGGCACAAAATCTATATATCAGGTTGTTTTTGCATTTAACCCATGTAAAATTAACATTTTAGATAATTTTCAAACTCATCCACAAAATTGAGGCAGCCATGCCAACACAATGAAGAGAAAGATTGGGAATTGCTGAAGAAGAAGGTGATGCGTGCACGTGTTAGATCTATGCGCAGTGGCACGAGTCAGACGACGACGGTGAGGTTGGTGCCACTTTTGAAACTGCGGTACTGCAGTAACGGCGGCATAATGCTCTGAAGGCGTCGGAGGTGAGATCGGGTTGATGGAGGCGTCCTTGGTGGTGATGGTGATCCAATTTTGGGTACGACACGGTTGGTAAGAATCAGCGATGCAAGGAGTCCGGCAGTGATGAGGACAGTGACGGCCTCTTCACAGCATCGATTTACAGCGAAGGATGGCGAGAACGCTGTCGCTGTAGAGAAATACGTAGAACAAAGCCTTTCAAAGATAGGTAAGGGAAAATCGGTGACGAAGGAGTTGATTATGAGTCCTCCGATACTGGTTAATCTGGAGTGGTATCCAAAGTTTGGTGTGTCTTAAGTGTGTGGAAAGAGGAACTGACTACTTTGTCTTCTTTCTTGCTTTATTTGCCTTTCTTTCCTATTGTTCCTTGTTTGTAATTAAGCTTATCACCACTATTGTTAATATTCCCTAATCCCATGCTTTGGATAATATTGTCCCATTTCTAGATGTTTAATGGATAGCTAGATATTAATCCCAGGGCCGCAGGCGGCCGATTGCCCTTCTGTCGTCTCCTCCACCACCGGTCGTTCGGCCTTTTCCTTCACCTGCTCTTCTCCGCCAGCTCCTCCGACTTACGATCCAAAAGCATAAAAAGAACTTGGATCTGACCATTTGCAGAAGCTATATACAATGTAGAGAGTCAAGCACGAGCAATGGCAATGGTCCTCTCCAACACATTCGGGTCTTCCTCTAACATTGCTTTAAGTCTTTCTAACTCTCCATTGCACTGTACTGAACGGACCATGATCATAACTTGTTCTGCAACTCAGCCCCTGACCCATTTCCTCCTATATTCATCATCGCCAATGTAACGACCCGAATCCGGGGGTCCAAATCGCTAATCGGGTCCTTACTCGAATCCGAGGACATACTAGGAGTAAAATGGTCATTTTACAATATGTAAAGGTAATCTGCCTTCAAACTAGTCAAATAAAGTTTAAAACAATTATTCTAGTCGTTCCATGACATTTGAAGAGGTTCTACGGTCATTGGATGTGTCCTTACACGGTTTAAGATAAATCTCGACATTGTTTCACTAAAACAGCCATAACTCTCAACATGAATAGAATTTTAGGATGAGGTTGGTCTCATTGGAAAGCTAACTCAAAATTCTTGAAGATGGACTTAAGAATGACCCTATTTGGGTTTGAAACAAAGAAGTTATGACCAAACGAAGTTAGGTGATCAAAACTGATACACTATCAAGGCAAAAATATACACTGGAGGGCTGAAACAGGTTCCCAAATCTTGGTACCGGTTCCACATGGGTAGAAAGCCCAAACATGAACCAAGACAACCCTTGAATCGGTTCTAGAATGAGGTACCGGTTCCCCAAGTCCAGAACCTAAAAATTTTACCCAGGAAGGTATAAAACTGAAACACATACATGTAGGCACTCCTTAGGTCCATTGACAACCTTAATTAAATTTAAAATCTGCTCCAAATCATGAATTCGTTAGTGTATGAAACATGATTAAACTCCCATGCCTTCAATTAAACTGAATTCGAGTCCATTACATCGTTTAAAGACCGAATTACACAAATATCATTTTATACAATTTCAAAAGAATTAAATACAAGGAATAAGACCTCCATGGCCAAAATTACATACCTTTAATATAAATAAAATGAAATCCTAGCTACATCAATATCCATGGATGCATATCATTCACCGGCTCATTTTTGAATTCTTGAAAAATGTTAATCATAATAAAGTGAGCTCAATAGTTCAGTAGAAAAAGCCTAAAGTAAATTCCTAAAATCCCGTGAGCCGAAACCAAAGAAAGGGAAAACAAAGAAAATGGATCATGGGATTATGAGTCATACTAATCATACATGAATTTCACAAATTCACAAACCATACCATTAGATATGAAATGCAAATGTTCTCTTCCTTTCCAACCCAACCTCACTAAAACCTTCTTAACCACCACCTTAACTTACAACACCATCATTCATCTCACTTCCTAACCTTTCTCCCACATCAAACCTTCGCCCTCTCCATTCACCCCATGCCAAGAATATGCATATCATATTACCATTTATCAATATGCAAGTCATTATTTACATCATGATTATCATATCAAATACACAAACATAAAAATTAGTTACATAATTCATAC